TGACGCATTTCTGTTAAGGCAATGTTATCCCAAATTTGTTCCTGCGTTTTATTCACCTCTCTTATGTTCTCTTTTATTTTTTCGGTCTCCTTTTTCTGCTCTCTCATATCTTTTTGTAGTTTTTTATTAGTTTCCTCGAATGCTTTGGATTTAACGGATAGTTCCTGAATTTTAGCGGAAAGCTCCCCCACAGCTCCTCTATCTTCCTATCTATCATCTCCTGCATTTCTTCTAGATTGAATTGTTTTTAACTGTTTTTATTTTGTATTTTTTCTTTTTCTTTTTTCTTTTTGTAATACTTTGAAAACTTTAATAAAAATCTTAAAAAAAAAAAAAAAAAGGAACACCAGAGCTGCCCAGAGTGGCTGGGGAAACCCAGCCAGATGGGCGGGGTATAAATAATAAATTATTATTATTTATAATAATTTAGGAGACTCAGCCAGGAGACTCAGCCACAGAAAGGAGCTTTGGTTGGAACATCAGAGCTGCCCAGAGTGGCTGGGGAAACCCAGCCAGATGAGCAGGGTATAAATAATAAAATTGTTGTTGTTGTTATTTATTATTATTATTGGAGAACAAGAAGGGGAAACCTGTGCATACCTTTGCCCTGCTGTTGTGACTTTTGTATCACTATTTTATTGTGTTTAAAAATATATTGTAAGCCACCTTGAGCACTTCGGTTAGTAGGCAAGGTATAAATAAACACTCCTAAATTAATAAATAAATAAAATGAAGCTCCACACAGGAGCTTCTGCATAGGCCAGCAAGTGCGCAAGGTGAACAATACAGGACTGGCCTGCTTACTCTGCAAAGTGGACAGCGTGTTATAGGAATGAGAAGAAAACAGCAGTCATGCTAAGCTGCTGGGTAAGAACTCCTAATTCAGATTGGTATGGTTGTCTTTGGGTTGTATTCATTTTACCCAAGCCCATGTACTATCGGAGACCTAAGGAAACTCAATATGCAAATCTAGAAAGGGAGTTTATTTACAAGCCATTGAAATAACAACTTTTATGATGTCTACCCACACATTTGTTTTCACTTATTTCATTTAAAATATTCTGACTTGTCTGATCAAGTGTTATTTGCATTTGTTACTGTTCGACAGTGGAGCAGGCTCCCACAAAAAGTGGTTGGCTCTCCTTCCTCGGGGGGTTTTCAGCAGAGCTTGGATGGCCACTTGTCATGGATGCTTTAGTAGAAATTACTGCATTGAGGGGGTTGGACTAGATGACCCTCAAGGTCCCATCCAGCTCTACCATTCTATAATTCAGACTATACAAACTTCCGATTTGACACAGCAAGGCAAGCAGGTTATTTTCTTAAACACCACTGGTGACATTGGAGAAGGATTATTTGGTTATCTGTATGGAAATGAGGCAGGTAGACTGTTATACAGGACAGTCTACCAGGAGAATCAATCTTGAAAGAATTGCACTGGCTGCCAAAATATTACAGGGCCAAATTCAAGGTGCTTAAGATGACTTATAAAGCCCAATGACAACTTGGGCCCTAGATACGTCAAGAAGTGTTGTCTCCTGTTCATTCTTATCTTCTGGGAAGATTGCTGAAATTTGCTATGCAGCAACACAGGGGAAGAGCCTTTTTGGTGGTGGTGCCCCAATTGTGCAGTTGCCTCCGCTTCTGAGTAACAGTTGACACCAACACATAGCAGTTTTTCATTAGGCCTGACTGATTAGTAGATATTAGTCCATTTTTGTTATTCTGGCATGGTTTGATCTTTCTGCCCTATATTTATAATGTGTTGTTTCAGTTTTAATGTCCCCCTGCCCTGGGACTGCCTTTGGCAATACAGGGGCAAGATAAAAGGAAAGCAGCAAACAAATCAAGTGAAGAAACCAAGGCGTAAAATAACTCCTGCTGATCAAAGCATTAGTCTAAGAAATCAGAGTATGGCAGTCAATCTACAATGCACAGTTCAAAACAGAAAAATGAGGCATGCCTACTCTGTTTTGTTACTAGAATTACACCAGTGCTGATTAATAGTAATGGGGGGAAAGAACCTTTCCATCTTTTCCCAAAGAGAAAAGAAAATTATGGCAAGCATTAAAAGAGTGGAGGTGAAAGAAACTAAAGCTTAACTCCCTCATTACGGGTGAAGAGGGTACTTTTTAATTATATCCATTAAAATATGATTAGGTTTAAAAATAAAAGGAAAACCAAGTATAGGAGAGTGTTACGCTCATTTTACTTTTCAGAATTAATGTTGCTGCAACTTTCTATTTTTCTTCCAAGAAATGGAAGGTAGAATTATCAAGCTGGCCCGGGGGGGGGGGGGTGGGGACTCAGAGAATCCAAGACTTAAAAAGAATCTTGTTCTTAAATGAGTTAATGTATGTATACAGAGGAGATAAAAAAAATGTTTCCTTCAGAAAACAAGGGGGAAACATATATATTTATTTAAATGAGGATTAAAAAAAAATCCCTTAACATCTCTTCAAAAAATCATCCAGTTTGAAATAAATTTAACACCAACATAAATGCTAATGATTACACTTATGATCTTTTACAACTGAACTACAACCATCTTGGACCCTCTGCCCAGTTCTGACATAACAAACCACGGTTTGCCATTTCGTGAACAAGCGGCTGGCTTGCATGCATTCCCGCAACCCTTCTTCACACACTAAGGGACAAACTCAGAAGCTTGCAGGACCAGGTTTGATATCCTGTAAACGAACTACAGTATGCACAACACATGTTTTGCCACAGTTGGTTTTCAGAGTTCACTACTGGACAAAATATGGTTTCTTGCAAATGAAAGCATCTGACAAGGGCATCATCTCAAGGACAAACAGAGAAGGATTGAAGTGGGTCAACTCTTAGTGGTGCTCCCTGTGGTTCATTCTGCTGGAGATAACAAGATAAGATATGCCAAACTCGGCTAGGCCTCAAGTCCAACCAGGCTAGATCTCAGTCTGTGGTAGCTATCAGCCAATTATCTCCAAAAATACACAGATAGAGGACAATGAAAATACAATTCCCCCATTGTTCCAGCATGACTTGGTTCTCATCATGACTATTAGTGACCAACAGACATAGCCTCATATTACTGTTTGTCCAACTGTTTCGCTTAGCAATTTTTATCATAAGCCACTTAGTCAGGGAATGCTCAAAAACGCAGGGGTAGAAAGTAATTATAACCTCCTCTCCCATAACTTCACCCAGTTCATTCTCAGTACCCAAATATCACATTCTGCCCACAAGCTATACAGTAGGGAACACAAACAATATGCAAACACATGCAAACCTTGTTTTCCTTTTTTTCCATTCTTGCATTAATAGGAGAGCAGTGATCACAGACTCATGGGTAAGAACAAGAACCTCATAATGACTCGAAGGAGGTTAAAGCTTTTCAACAAGGAACACCTTCTCTATCTCTGGTTACAACCAAAGCTAACAGAACATCCAAATTGTAGGATGATGCTATATAAAATGACAAATCTGGGTAACAATACATGTTATCCCCAAGTGACTCCAGCTTCAAGGCCTCAGGAGAACTGGTGCATGTTGAGCTTAAACTAGGGAAATGATGAATGGTGCATAATTGAAGTAGGCAGTGGGATTGGCTGAGGAGCAGGGAGCTAGAAAAGCATGTGCAAGGCTTATTAGCGCTGCTTCTGGACACTAGATAGCCAACATACAGCCCACCTTGTTTAATCCTTCAATCAATTCCAGCAGCACATGTTCCAGCCTTTTACCATAGCTTAGATGGCAGAAAGCAGAGACTATCTAGAGTGCACCTGCAAAGCCAAGGGACAGTGCAGCACTGAGGCTTTTGCTGTTAGCCACCAATTTGTGTTCAGGAGTGAACCCAAGACAGGTTTGGCTGAAGTGGATGGCCATAGGAAACGACCCTCCTGCTGCCTTGTAAGGCTTATGTACAGTGTGGTAACTGATGTCTCTATCCCTGACCTTCTTGCCAGCTAGGCCATAAGAATGCATAAAAGTTCACTCCTCCTCAGGAAGCTAGGTTGCAACAATGGCAATGAGATAATTAATAAGCAAAAGGGCACTAGGAGCAGGTTTTGAAATCCTGAAGTCTCCGCTTTAAGATTCTGGTGCCAGGTTCCTTCAACCAACTGGGAATCCCGTAGAACTGAAAATACGAACTAGACAGAGCAATGGCACTTCCAGAATGAGTCAGGCAACCTCAAGTCAGATTACCTGCACACTCACAGTTTCAGGAGCACTCCAGCAGGTGCCAAGAGAACTAACTTGTGACGTATCTTTCTAATTAATTCTAATTATTTAGAACACTTATTTTAGAAAGTTAGAATATTGCTTTTATATGTGCTTAGAATTGTGAGGGTATGCTGCTGCACTTTGTTGTTAAAACTATCTTTATAATAAATTCCTATCTTTATAATAAATTCCTTATTCCTTTATAATAAATTTCCATGTGGACCCACCTTTGTCGTTTGGGAGGGTTCAGATACACACATTAAGGACAGCACTCTGTGTGACTCCCGCTAAAGATCCTTTGGGAGGGAGTGTGCTCTCAGGACCACATGGGTGCAGGTTTCACACAGAGTCTCCAAACACAAATGTTTATCAGGCCCCATGTTAGTATGTCACAGTCCAAAGCAAGAACTTGTAGGTGCTTTGGGGGGGGGGACAGCAAAGTGAGATAGGGCACAATTTTTCAGGACATCCATGACACAACGAGGAAAACTTTTGGAGGAAACCCTTTGAAGACCTTCCTTAAACAGCAGCAGTCTCTTGCAACAAAGGCAGACAACTGCTCCATGCCTTCCTTGATCATACCTGTGCCAGCAAGGAGTGGCAATACAGTGGTACCTCGGGTTACAGATGCTTTGGGTTACAGACGCTTCAGGTTACAGACTCTGCTAACCCAGAAATAGTACCTTGGGTTAAGAACTTTGCTTCAGGATGAGAACAGAAATCGCGCAGTGGCAGCAGGAGGCCCCTTTAGGTAAAGTGGAACCTCAGGTTAAGATCAGTTTCATGTTAAGAACGGACCTCCAGAATGAATAAAGTTCTTAACCCGAGGTACCACTGTATGCTTTTAATAAACATGAACGCTTAAATTTCATAACAGTAATTGGAAAGAGAGTCTCATCCTAAACCTGATGCATTATCAGACAGTTTATCCTCACCTTGCAAGCTCCTTAATTAAGTTTGCTATGCGCCTCTTGTCTTCAGGACATAAATCCTTTAGAGAAGCACTCTTCATTCCTCCTTTGTCAGGGACCTGAAAATTAAAATCAGCATTTTAAAAAGCAATCATTAACATGGAAGAAGTGTTTCTGAATCTACAATAAAAGTATTTCAAGCACCAGAGGCTGCATATTCAGCCCCAGATGAATTAAGAACTGAAGAGAACACAAGTTTTTAAACAATAAAAAATCAACCAGTAGGATAATTTCCCAAATTGTGTGCTGGAGGATTCGCCATTAAATTGTGCTTCTAAAGATAAGCTCCAGCTGGAGGGAAAAGTTCGAAAGGGGGTGGGGGAAGGAGAGTGCAGCCAATTTACCCATTCTGTAATCCTTATTAATGATTTTATTTATTAATTGGTTGACAATGCAGTTTTTCCAGGAGCAAAAGATTGCTCTGCCTAAGGTGCTATTGAAAAAAAGTGTACAAAAGTCAACCCATGAATATATCATATAACTATCAATACAATATGATGTGTGAATGTTAAAGGCAACCTTGTTAAATGCAAGTCATAATAATAGGAGGGAAATTGTTTATCATTTCAATAAGTACTATTCAAGATTTAAAATGCTTGAATTTTCCCCCTCTGTGGTTATTTCAGAATTCGGCATTTAGTTCAATCCGGTGCAGTTCACAATTCAACATGCATTCCACGGCTCGGTCAAAGCTGGTGCTGCTCAAAGACTTAAAAGGAGCTCCAAAACCCTCACAGTCGATAGAACTAATGTGCCTGCCATATCAACCCCACTTTGCTACTGTGCAGGGACTAAAGGAAACTGAAAACCTCAGGTTACTGCAGCAATGAAAATGTCACTGCCAGTGCTTTGGTCATCCTCCCTTACTGTAAGAACTGGCTAACTTTGCACCCCTTGTCCGCCAGAGGGCATTTCATGCTACATAAATGCACAGTTCCCTTCAGCTCTCTGCATGAATGTAACCGCTAAGTCTTGAATTTTCACAGCTAATACAATGTGCACCTTCAGAGAGCTGCGTTGGGAGTCTTCCATTATATTCTCAATTTCAGTCGTGTAATAGCACCTTTCTCCACAGTGACTAACACAGCAGCAAAACAAAAATACTGAGAATGAGCTAGAAATTTCTGGACTACACAGAGATGAAATCCAAGAGTAATTAATGACTAATGCTTGAACAAAATGGTGGTTTAGAGGTTCGGGAAGGATCTTTGCAGAGAAGGTCCCAATGTACAACCTGCCTCACCTTGCACAATCACACCAGCTGCTGCCGCTAGCACTAACCTGCTGGAGCAAACTCAACAGAGCCTAAATTTAAAAACTGTTTCAACACAAACACATTCATACACAATACAGACATGCATATAAGCATGGGTATTTGTGTCTCTGCTTTGTGCATGAGTTGAAAACAACCATCCATTTCTCTGGTGACATGACAACAACTCAACCCTCTAATAACTAGTATAGGGTGATCCTACAGCACAGGGCCCCAGCCCCATAGCTGTACTCTTGCCAGGACAAGAAGAGCTCAACAAGGATGCAGCAGCAGTAGTTCTCCATCCTGCTGCATCCATTTTGTACAAGAAGGGGAGAAAGGTACTTCTTCAGTCAGCCTTACAAATAAGTCAAAAAGTTACTAGCCTGCAATATTTGTTTTGCCCCCTTCTCCAAAGTCAGCATGGAAACACAATAAAAAGTGCCTTCTTCCATGATGGATGGTGGAGGAGAGACACTCTGATAGTCCACTGTGTTTTTTGTGCTGACTCTGGATGAGATAAGGCTACTCTTCCTTTATAGCTAGCCAAGAAATCAAGTGAGCTGGCTGCTCAGTCACCTGCATGAAAATCCTGGTTGCCTGTGGCTACGAGGCAAGTCGTCAAATACAAGGCAGTCTTCAGTGATTTTAGAACCCACCCCTTTCACCTTTTGAGTCTTTGAACACATGGATGTCTCCATCCCCTTAGGTGCCACTTTAAATTGGCCAAAGGCTAACAACACAATGCTTTTTTCCCCTCTGAAGAGCTTGCCATTTCTTGCCAACAGAGGCCTGTGGCACAGATCACAAAGAATGAACAAAGGGTATGTATCTCTTCTATGTGATGCCTCTTCAAGAGCATGACTGGGAGTTGTGGCTAGACATTACCAAGAAAACATGCCCTTCTGGGTTCAGCTACTCCTTTCAAAGAAGTCTTCAAAAGCTAATAAAATTATTATTTTAAGCCCTCTTTGAAATGGATAGCAGCGATCAACCTGTATCGAGTGATGTTTCTCACAACCCCAGGCATTAAAAGAGCTTCATTCAAACCTTTTGATTTGTGTTTAATTTAAACAAGCTTTTCACTCAAAGCACTTCAAGTTCACAGCTGCAGGTTACATCTGCGAAAACTTTCTCCGCACTTCTCAAAAAAGGATGACTAGTTCCAAAGTCAACAGCTCACTCCCTACACTCACACCAAATAGATGCTCTCCCATTACATTTGAGAGAAGCACCCATTGCAGGTACCCTGAGTCAAGTAATTTCTGCAACACATATCCTTGGTGGACGCTATGCATAGGCCTTTTAAAGGAGCAGCTTTTTCAAAATCATGAAGGAAAGCCTGGTTTGCAGGACTGTCCCAAAACACACTGGGGAACACTGCACTCCCAACGATATTCACTAATTCACCAGCATGAAATATATGACTGCCAGATTATCTGCCTGGGTATCAAGAGGAAGTCATACTTTTTTTACAAAAAGGCACATTGAGAAAACACATTTAAGTCTTAAGAAGCTGTAGGAAAAGGGAGGGCACTCCCTGAAAGCCGGTGGCAGCAACCAAACAGCTAAGCAGGGGCGAAATGATGGAGATATAGCATGGAATAAGGAGATCGTCTGAAGAGAGAAGTCAGTAACGCTCCCAGCACACAGATCCAGGTGAGAACCAAATCTCATCTCAGCCACAAATTCAGCTGGCAACCTTCAAAACCCACGTCTCAAACCCCACTCCATTCACAATATAGGGACTAATACATACAGAGATGTTGTAAGGTTTGCAATATTACACGCACAGCTCTGCACTGTATGTTGTTGTGTAAGTGATGTAGGTATAAGTGATGCATTACTCCAATATAGGAGCAGCACACAGACCAGAAGGGTGGCTAAGCCAAGCCAGAAATGGCTGACAGCTCTTTAAGCCATGGAGAGAACTTTGCTAAAGGACGTACAGAGCAGAATGAGAGGCATGGCATTGCCATGAAGGGAGGAGGGCGTAAGGCTGAGGCTACCAACTGCTTGTTTATGCAATCTCAACCATGCCAGGAGGTCATTCTGCTTTGACCAAAGCTAGGTTAGCACAGTCTTCTTCTCTATGTTCTGGCGTTTGCCGGTACTTTGTGCAGAGAACAGCACAGTAAACAGCTTGGCTTCCTCTTCACCTTGACATTTGAGTTGGAATCTGGCAGCTGAAGCAGCATCGCAAAACAAGGAGGATTTACCAAGCCACCAAGATCCACAGGATTCAGGCAGAAATGCCCCTTTTTTCACTTCTGAGGTTATGCAACAAACTCTCAGAAAGAACACAAGGACGGAGAAGATACAGGCAAAAAACAATTCACCGCAGTTCCTGCACTTACTCTCCAGGAAGGTCTGCCTGGTGACAACATTAACAAGCTTGCAGCACCAGGCTAATGGGGAGGGGATTCCGTGGATGCCACAAGAACCACAGCTGGTGACCCCAGATGTATCTCCTTCTCCTTGGAGCTGGATGAAATGGGATTATAATGCTTACTGCTGTTTCTGTATTTATTTTTGGAGGAACACTGTTGAAGGCAGCAGGTAGAGATTGAGACACTTAACCTCATAGTTGTGAGTTGGAGCCTCACATTGGGCAAGAGACTCCAGAATTGCAGGGGTTAGATCAGATGACTCTTGTGGTCCCTTCCAACTATACAATCCTATGATTCTATGTACCTGAAAGTCTTTTAATCATCTGCAGTTTTCTAAATACCCAGAAATGTTTGTTTCTATTAGGCAACAGACACAAGGAAGGAAGGAAGGAAGGAAGGAAGGAAGGAAGGAAGGAAGGAAGGAAGGAAGGACTGGGATTGGCCCCTACAGCACCTCCAGCCTAGATGCTTAGACCTTTTATCTCTTCGGGTAGCTTTTTTAAAATGTATTTTTTTATTAAAGATTTCTTGGTTTACAAAAGTATGTGCAATATCTCTTTTTTTCAAGTTACATTTTCTACAGATCAGCTTCATTTGTTGAGACATTTGTGTTAGGAATTAGGGGGGGGAAGGGGGGGAAGAGGTGGAGGGGCCATAGTGGGTGGGGGTCGGGTGGCAGTCTTTCTATTTTACTTAATGTATGTGTGGGGTTTTGTGTCAGCGTCGTTTGTGCAGGTTCTCGTTGCTATTTGCTTGTGTTCCTTTGGTGGAGAGTGAAGTTGGGGTTGGCCTAGGGCATGGGTAGGCAAAATAAGGCCCGGGGGCCAGATCCGGCCCAATCACCTCCTCAATCTGGCCTGCAGACGGTCCAGGAATCAGCGCGTTTTTACATGAGTAGAATGTTGCCTTTTATTTAAAATGCATCTCTGGGTTATTTGTGGGACATAGGAATTTGTTCATAATTTTTTTCAAAATATAGTCCAGCCCCCCACAAGGTCTGAGGGACAGTGGACCGGCCCCCTGCTGAAAAAGTTTGCTGACCCCTGGCCTAGGACATGGGTAGGCAAACTAAGGCCCGGGGGCTGGATCCGGCCCAATCGCCTTCTAAATCTGGCCCGCGGACGGTCCAGGAATCAGCGTGTTTTTACATGCGTAGAATGAGCCCTTTTATTTAAAATGCATCTCTGGGTTATTTGTGGGGCCTGCCTGGTGTTTTTACATGAGTAGAATGTGTGCTTTTAGTGCTGGAAATGCAGGGGAAAAGAGGGATCCTTCTTCCACATGTGGTGGGAATGCAAAAAGGTAAAAGGTTTTTGGGAAAGTGTATATAACGAAATGAAGAGAATTTTAAGATACACCTTTGGAAAAAAACCGGAAGCTTTCCTGTTAGGATTAGCAGGAAGGGATATAAAGAATACTGACGGTAAATTCTTCCAATATGCAACAACGGCCGCAAGAACCCTCCTAGCACAAAATTGGAAACAACAGAAGATACCGACAGTGGAGGAATGGAGAACAAAATTGTTAGATTACGCGGAGATGGATAGATTGACGGGGGAAATTAGATATCTAAAAGACCAAAGGTTCATTGTTGACTGGGGGAAATTTGTGGAGTATCTGGAAAATATAAATGAAGGTCAGATAACGCTAGTTGGGTTTAAAAAAGCTCTGTGAAAAAAAGTTGGAATATTGTCTAAAGAGAAACGGAAACGGAAGGAAGGAAATAATAATGTCAATATAAAGCAGGATTTGCGTAAATTTTCTAATTAAGGGTACGGATTATTTGTGGAGAAGCTGAAGGAAGTCCCAAAGAAAGAAATCTATGATAATAAGATGTAAATCTTTTTATTTTTGTTTGTTATGGTGCAAATCAATAAAAATCATGTTTGGGGGGAAAAAAAGAATGTGTGCTTTTATTTTATTGGGCAACAGTTCCTCTTTGGAAACAAGGGCTTTCACACTTTCCAATTTGCCCTGTAAAACAGATCGGCCTCAGGGAAAAGAAGAACTAGATGACTAATTGGTTTAGTTGCTCCAGGTTTTTAAACTAATATACACTATGTTATTATAATCATCATCATTGGAGGGGGTGAGCTAACATGTAATATTCTCTTTCTGTGATCCCTGCTTTGTTGTTTTATAACCCACTATTGCTTCTTTAGACAGAGGCCCATTAGTCATAGCTATAAATTCAATAAAGGCAGCGTAAGGATGCACTTTTACAGCAGCTCCTATACAACTGAAGTTTACGTCTTCCACTTTAGTGACTCTGTAATGTATTCAAAAGGAGCACTGCTCACACTGCAGGCATAAACTGCCGCTGTCTGAGGGGACGATCTTTAACTCTCCGCCTCAATCTCTCACACAGCCATGGTTCTGCCCACGAGGAGAGGGCAGTTCTGATAACTTGAAATGCTCTTTGCAAAAACATTCTGCTAGAGGGATGGTAACTTGCTGGGTAGAGTACATGGCTGGCACAAAGAAGGGTCGAGGCTTAATCCAAAGTAGTAGTGTTCTATCTTATAAATCCAGCACTGCTACTCGTTTCTTTTTGTTTTCCAATATATTTCTTATTAGCAAAAAACAAACAAACACACACGTGTCTGTGTGTGTGTTTTGCAAGCAATTTTTTTATTCTGAAAGTGTTGCCCAGAGAAAAAGGTTTGAGAACCACTGCCCTAGACAGCCACAGCTGGTGGAAGATAGCAGCCTTGGTGAACCAATGTCTGGCCCAATAAAGGGAAGCTTCTCAACAGAGAATGTGGAAGCTGATCACTGAAGAAGCTTGTCTTTGCCCCAAAGAGAAGAGAGACCTGCTGGGAGGAGGCAGCAAATCTCCAAAGAGAAGCACTGGGACACCTTGCCAGCCAATCTACCCCCCCCCCCCGGTTGCCTTCCAGCCCCAAATAAGAGGAGCAGGAAGACATGCCTCTTTTTGACAAATCCCTTGCAGCTGCCTGTTCATGCTGAAAGGCAGCTCATCTGTCACAACACTATACACAGCTGCAAGAACAGGCAATGGCGGAGGTGTATCCAGAGTTCTGACTCCCTAAAAGAAGCTTTTAATCCTTAGGCACTGTGACAGGAACTGGTCCTACTTGCTCCATTCTGGCCCCAGGCTTGCAAGCGTTAATCTAGCCACAGTTACAAATGCTGAAGTAAAATTTTAGATGCCTGGACAAGGAAGATTTTTCAAGGCCTGCACAATTACTTTATCTTTGCACCTTGAACGCCACAATGATTGCACGAAAAAAAGAAGAGGGGAAAGGCTTCTAAGCCAGATACAAGCAGCCACTTTTCAGCTGTGTGTGAATAAAGCAGAAACAGTCTGCATCAACATCAAAAGTCTGCATCCAATTGGACTGCCATCGCTGCCACCATCCAAGACCACGTTTACATTATATCTCATTTGTTTCAGTATTTTAACACTGTAAACTGCCCTGGATGCCTTGGTAGAAAGGCAGCATATAAATGTCATAAATAAATAAAACAATAAGTAAACTTCACATTGTCATCCTCCACAGGTTTACTCTGTCCTGCTGAGTTGAATGGACTTGCAGGTTACCTCTGCCACAGACTGCAGCCTCAAGAGTTCTGGTTTCATTTGCCCTTCTCCGTACTGACCTGCTGCCCAGGCGCTTGGCCTGCGCTTTTCCAGGCATCCATTGGGGCAGGAGGAGCAGCTGCAGGCACCTTTGCCTTCACTTCCACTTTCTGACCTTTCAGCAGGTGTCTTGCTCTAAAATTCCTCTCTGTGGAAATTCCTAGAGGTTGAACAGACAAGATCAGGAAAACTTCCAACTTGTTCTTACAAAGCACCTCCCACACTGAAGCTTCCCACAAAAAAAGAGGAAATGAAAACAGCACCCTCCCCACCCCCAAAAAAAGCTTAAGCATCAGCCCAGCCCAAGGAAAAACTCTTCATTAACACAAACAAACCAGCCCAGACTTGAGAAGGCCCAAGGATAACCCTGCCCAACACCAAGAACCCTGCACCTTGGACTTACTCTTCCCGTCAGGAGACAGAGGCTGAATGCTTGGTTCAAAGAGTCCTGCATGGTTACACCATAGACCAAAGATTAATAGTCTTTTTATAGACCCCAGTTATCAAATCAGCTGCCTGACTATTCTCAACATTTTTATAAGAATAAGCTCAATTATTTTGTATACCAAACAGATTTTTAATGGCTTTGAAGGTACTTAATAATGTTTTATAATTCCATGAGCAACTAGCTTATCCTCCTCCCTACCATTTCTTTTACAATTATGAAGTTGACAATCACAACACAGAACCAAAGACCGGGAGAGGAGTAGAGAGGAGGACAAGACTAATTTTTGCTGCCTTGTTCCTATACTCTTCACAAGGCAATTAGAGAAAGTTCCCTTACTTCTGTCATTTGGGGCTGGAACATCCTATAGTATGTAAACATACTATAACATACTATGTAAACAGTATGTAAAGGGACCCCTGACCATTAGGTCCAGTCGTGGCCGACTTTGGGTTGCGGCACACATCTTGCTTTATTGGCCGAGGGAGCCAGCGTACAGCTTCTGGGTCATGTGGCCAGCATGACTAAGCCGCTTCTGGTGAACCAGAGCAGCGCACAGAAACGCCGTTTACCTTCCCGCCAGAGCGGTACCTATTTATCTACTTGCACTTTGACATGCTTTTTAACTGCTAGGTTGGCAGGAGCTGGGACCAAGTAACGGGAGCTCACCCCGTCGTGGGGATTCAAACTGCCGACCTTCCTAGGTAGGCTCTGTGGTTTAACCCACAGCGTCACCCATGTCCCCCTATAGTATGTAATTCACTACATATCAGTGTGGGGTGGCTGCTTTGGCATAGCCAAGCTTCTCTCTGGCTTTGAAGGACCCAGCCAGCACCCAAGAAGTGGGTGGGTGGCAGCAATCAGAACGATACAAAGAGACTGCAAGCTGATCAACCAGGGCTGATCTACTGAATCATCTGCCTGCAGAAGAGAACTTCTTGGATATGAAACATGGAGAAAATTAAGGCACAGAAAATTCATCTACCTTCAAGAGACATATGTTTCTTGACATGGCACTAACTTCAACTTCTAAGGGTCAATACAAAGAACACATTTTCACACAAACAGGAACTGTCTCTGGGGCTGACAAAAATATGTATCATCAAAGCAGCACATTGGACTTGCTGTCAGCTGGATTAAGTTCTTGAAATTATCCATGAAAATCTTTCATTCTTTTCTCAGTAAAAACAGTCAGAATATAGAAGCAGGTCAAAGTAGGCCAACAAAACTCTGCCTCACCTTCTCTGATACCTCTGAGTAAGGAAGGGCCAATTGGGAGTTGGCTAGGCAGGCAAATGAAACTCAGAGCCCAGTTCTAATTCATCAGGAAGTCAGTGCATACAATGAAATTATTCACAGTTTGATCTTTATATTCCCAGGGTAGGGTCAGAAGGAACATGATGCCACGACCTATTGGAAGCTGAGCAGGTCTAGTTCTGGTTAGTGCTGGGTGGGAGACTGCCTGAGAACCACAGATGCATGCACGCTACCTTGGGCTCCATGATGGAAGAGAAGGTTAAGTGTAAGTAAATAAACATGTAAATATGAGCAGCTAGAGATCAAATGTTGCTAAATGACAGCTTTAAACCATTTCTCTAGCTCTAGGAGGAGCACCTAAAGGCTGGCTGCCAACCTGTGAAAATGAGGTGATGGTGCCTAAAAGCATTCCATGATTTTTCCAGCCCCGCTAAAGGACCTGAAAAGGTTGTATCCCTAAGTTATCATTTGAACTCTTTTACTTCTAGCCCTCTCCCCAAAGTTACAAAATCTCATTTTATAACCCGTTGCTCCAAAGTTGCCAAGATAAGAGTGCATGTGCCGTATGCACAGAGTGAATCCGAATCAGGTCCTGGCCCAATTCACTACCCAACAAGACAAGTTAAATTTGGCAACCATTCAAAGATCATACCTGGGACATAGACAGGTGGCTGCTCTTCGTCAGAAACTGAATGCAATTTCATTCAAGGAAAGCAAGGGCAAAAGGTTTGTTCCATTCTACATTTTACACTCTGTAAATATTATACAGTGGTACCTTGGTTTACAACCATAATCCATTCCGGAGGTCCGTTAGTAAACCAAAACCCAAAGCCCTTTCACCAATGGGGCCTCCAAAAAAAATGTGTGTCATCCAAAAAAATTAGGTTGTAATTCAAAAAAAGTTCGCAAACCGGGACACACACTTTTGGGTTTGACTTGTTTCTATTCCAAAACGTACGCAAACCAGACTGTTTGGAAACCAAGGTACCACTGTAGTCTAAAAAATCTGCATCAAAATAGAAAGTTCAGAAGCAGCAGACAACTGACCAGGAGACTACCAAAGCAAACATTTCTGTAAATCCACTTTGTTATTACTCTTAAACGGACCTCATTTAAAAGGTTGTATTTTATTACAGGCCCTGTAACTAGCTCAATCACAGAGATAATGAGCCACATTTATTTGTATTAGCCTTGATTATAAAAGCAACTCCTGGAGGCCATACATTCAATGCATGCTCCTCAGACTCTGATTATGGACACAGAGAGACTAAGCTTTACACTCACACATTTTTTAAAAAGCTATCTGGGGCTCTTAGAAGCAGCTACTGGTATTTGAGGATCAGGAGAGAAATCTGGGTAAACTGCATCCTAGTCAAGACCATAATCTGGGACCCTTCCCTGTTGTATCATCCAGATTGCCATCAGACTGCATATCTTTAGCAGTCACCCATCAATTCATGGTGGATTCAATTAAGTTAATAACAGCCCATTGCCAACTACTGGCAGCAAGTTACATCCAATAAGTTGTTCTCTGCACATCATCTCTTCTAGATGCTGAAAGGAAGTTCTTACTCTGCCCCAGTGGGCCAGAGGGGAGCAACCAAATGGAGACTAAAATCCATTTGGAAAGATTTAGTGTAAATACATCAGCCGAAGACCTATGTATGCAAGTTAGTTCATAAAAGATGTAAGCATAATAATACCAAACAGAAATCAACAACAGATTATATATAAATGAATTCTGGGGAAGAGGACAGTATATCCGAATAATGAAAGGAACAATATATGAAGATAATGATTACATGAATAACAAAATAGCACGTTTATGCAATTACTTGCATATACTGTTTCCTTATAAAGTACACTGCTCCCCTTCCTCATGATTCACTTACTTACAATATGCTGTTGATCTCTCTTTGATATCTTTAAGCTCACATAGTTCATGAACTAAAATCCATTCACTATCTTCTGCCAATATGTTTAAAAATATTTTGAAAATAGATTTCAGCTTCTTGGGCCCACTTACTCTCATCCACCAGGGCAGATTAGAGGTCTTATTTTCAGCAACAATTACATGCACCCAGAATGTGACCATATAGAGTTATTATAAGCTGCTCATCTAACTCTTAAGCTGGAGGTGCAAAATGTGTGCCCCCCCGCCACCGTTAAAGCCTTGAAGATGTTAGAATCATAGAACGGCAGAGTTGGGAGGAATCCTAAGGGGTCATCTAGCCCAGCCCCCTGAAATGCAGGAAAATGAAGGTGGCCCTTATGAGGATCAAACCTGCAACCCTGGCATTATCAGCAACACTCAAACCAACCGAGCTACCTATTGCAGGATAGCCTTCTTTGGCAGAACTGTGATGCAAAGTCTCTAAAACCACTCACTTTGCCTCTGGGAGCCTGGAAGTCTCAGCCTCCATTTCTAGCTCTAGATGTATGACCATTTGGTGGCTGGGACCCTCAGTTGTTTCTGCTGCGAGTGGGACGGCCTAATGCTGCTGCCAAGGATGGAAAGGGCGCTAGGAGGGAGTGGCGAATAGGCTATGGGTCTGTTTTGCAGGGTCACCAGCTATGGGGTCACTTGGTGAAGGGAACCGAGGCTATGGAGGCAGACGATACCATAAGCAGGACACGTCCCCCAAGACATACAGGCACCTCAAGGGCCATGCAATATGCGTCTCCCCACCACCAGCCCCGTCTTCCCCATGCCGGCAGCCAGAAAAGTTACCAAAACTTCCACCAAAGGGAACCACAAAGAAAAAGCTGGAATCAGCCGCAGCAGCTGAGAGTTGACGGGGGAAGCCGGGAAGCCCCGAGTTCAAGTCTCCGCTCAGCGCGACTATTTGGGTTGCTACGCTGTGCGCGGAATGGAGACTTGGAGGGAGCTGTGGGGGAATGGAGCAGACTAGCATTTGTACTGGAATACGAAGCAGCAACCTTTCCCGCCTGCTCTTTCCCTGTGGAGTCCAGGGCGCCTCCAGCGACGCTCCCCGGCCCCTCACAACAGCCCTGCAGAGGAGGGCGAGGGGCGAGAGAGAGCGAGGCTGGCAGGCCAAGGTCCCCCCCCCGCCCTGGGAGTGGGGGCTTCCCCGTAACCCCCGGGCCTGGCTCCGCACTCGGCGGGGCGTCTTTCCTGAGGCGACGGAGGCGGCTCTCTGCACATGCTCAGGAACCACGGCAGCCTTTGAACTCGTTCATCATCGGCCCGCCGTCAAATTAGACCCCCCCCCCGGCTTTTCCTTCTCCTCCCGCCACGCCCCCCCCCCCCGCGAGCCCCTCCTGAGGGAAGGATACGATCCTTACTCCAACGAGCAGCTGCTTCCGGCCCCGGCCCCGCAAGCCACATCCGCCATCTTGAAACAACCGCCACTCCCAGCGTCCCCCCGCCCTGCCACGCCCCCCACGCGAGACTCTGACCTCCCATTGGCTTATGGAAGCCGGGCTTTGCCCAGATACGGCGCAAGTGACGCGCTGTCGTAGGAGCCGGCCAATGGGGAGGAACGGGGGGGGGCAGAAAGGGAGGAGGTGGAGGTGGAGCCGGCTCTCCCATTGCCTTCTGGGAGTCGTAGTGCCGGCTCTGCATTCCTTTCCCCCTGCAGAACGGCCGCCGAATGGAACTGAATGAAACGGGAGGACCGCGTTTCCCCAAAAGCACCGCGGCGCGGCGTCTGAGCTACGGGTCGCGAGAAGGAGCAAAACGCGCCTCACCAGGTGCTGTCCGTGCCCCTTTGGGATAGGGACTGATGGCGGGAGGGAGGAGGAAGAAGGATGGAGGAGAAGGCCCTGCGCAGCGGGAGCAGCTCCAGCAGCACAAGCCCTACCTGGAGAAGCTCACCCTGGGGGTGACCCGCATCCTAGGTAAGGTGGAGGTGGAGGTAGCATTCCCTGGTTGCCATGGAAACGGCCGAGGGATGGAGCCACAAAGAGCCTTTCTTCCCTCTTGTTCATTGCATGGCGCTTCCCCCTCAAAACAGCCCTGTGAGGGAGGCCAAGCTGACCTATATTTTTCCTCACCAACAGCCCTGTGAGGGAGGCCAGGCGGACCTATATTTCCTCTATTTTTCCTCACAACAGCCCTGTGAGGGAGGCCAGGGCGGACCTATATTTGTTCCTCTATTTTTCCTCACAACAGCCCTGTGAGGGAGGCCAGGCGGACCTACTACTTTTCCTATATTTTTCCTCACAACAGCCCTGTGAGGGAGGCCAGGCTGACCTATATTTTCCTCTATTTTTCCTCACAACAGCCCTGTGAGGTAAATTCTTCTCCCCTCCCCCACCTTCCCCAACCTCCTTTCCCTCCAGACGTTCCTTCTGGTTCTCCCTTGGCAACCCTTTCCTGTTTTGGGGGGCCCATTGCAGCAGGACCCCCTCCTAAAGTGGCTCTCTGCTATCCACCTAGCTTCCTTCCGGGCTTGAGAATCTCCGCAGCCAGTTATTTCCTCTCAGCCTAGCCTGCCTCGCAGGGTCGTTGTGATGACAAAATGTGGGAGAAGATAATGACATGCCCCATCTTGGGCTCCTCAGAGCAAAGGTGGGATATCAATGTAATGCAGTGTTTCCCAACCTTTTTTGGGCAAAGGCACACTTGTTTGATGAAAAAATCTTGAGGCACACCACCATTACAGCCCCGTGACGTCAGCGCGCAGCGTCACGCCGGGAGGGAAGGGCGCCGGGGCGCTGCTGCTGCTGCTGCCGCCGCCGCTCCCGGCAGGCATGGGCCCAGCTGAGGCGGCGGCTGTTGTGGTG